GGTTAGTGTTCTATTTTTAATCTAGTGTGACTGTGCTTTTTGTGCTTCTGTTTTTGTTTTGTGTCTCCCACCTGCCTCTGTGTTCTGCTTGTTGGTCCTCTCATCACTGTTTTATGACAGCTGATAAAGCGGGACATTTTTATTAGCACGTGTAAATGTCACCTCATTTGGTGTTTGACCTTTGGCAGTTCAGACGAATATTGGGCTCATATCAGCGTATGATAATGCAACACTGATATATCAGTGTTCGTGCTGCGAGAGGATCACTTGTTTAACAGATGAACCTCTGACTATCCCTTGCCTCATTAAACTACTAACATGAGACGTGTCCTTTTTCATTTGTGATGGTTTGAGGTGTTTCTCTCGCCCGGGGTGCGCATTGCATCGCTGACTGCTGTTTACAGCAATGTAATATCATTTGGGAACTCAACCCTGCACTAAGTAGGACATTTCTGGATGATTGATGAGGATCATTTGATGTTTGACAGTTCAAAGGTGGCCAGGACTCGTGAAGGACCACTTATAGAGAGGATGAGTCGAACAAGCGTAAATGCATCTTTGTGCTTTAGCCCTCCTCACTGTGACCTTTGCTGCTTTGAGCGTTGCCGCTTGGTTAGCAAGGTGCACACTGAAGCTCTTCACTAGCAGTTCATGAATACGCTCTGCTTCACGCTGACTTTTCCCTCCTCATCTCCAGTGACCTTCTCAAGCTCCTTACTGCTCGTCTTACACATTTTCATTGACCCACCGGCTCTCCACTAGCAGCTGTCATCCTGCATTTTTCAGCGTGTGTTGACACAGATGAACAGTCACAGCAGATTACTCAGTGGCTCCCTTCTCCTCTCCCTAATTTATTTGCACAAGACAATCTATTTCCCTGGGAAAAAAGGCTCAGTTTGAGAACATTTCTTTCTACTTAGCGTATTATTAGTTATTAGTTCAGTCTAATAACATATAGCATGAAAAGCTGGTGATGGTGACGAGAAAATGTTTACTAATATAACTGCAAGCTCATGTTTTCTGGTGTTCTTGTGTGCACCTTGCTAAATAGATGTTCTTTCTGTTGCAGGCCAATAGAGGCATTTTTTCACTCCTGAAACTTAAATGTGCTTTCTGTTTCGTCCGTAGGTGCTATCGGTGCAGATGTGCGATGTGGTGAACGAGATCCAGCTGGAGAAAGAGCGCTGTGAAAATAGCACCTCTGGGAACGTCACTTCAGGTCATTATGGAAAACATATGTAGTCTCTCCAGCTCTTTAGGGTGTGTAAAAGGCTATTTAAAGAAAAAGGGAGGCATACTTAGTAAATATATAGTAAGGTGAGGTCAGACAGTGTGTGAATTTATATTTCAGAAATACATTTCTTCAGGACATAACAGCCACATTAAGACACGAGAGGGAAAATAACTTTCAAAATAAAACAGGAAGAGACTGAAATAGAAACATGTAACACAATGACAGACAAACAGCAGGAGACACAAACAAGGAGGCACAGCAATAAGCCACATTCATAACAGTAGTACACTTTTATCCTGTTAAAGTAGCTAAAAATACACCAATGCCTTTTAACTCAGACACCAATTTAGATTCAAAATGTAATGTATGCTTCTCTTTTTGGCCCACTGAGATATCTGCTTGGCCGTCCTTCCTGTGACTTTAGGAACGCAGTGAAATATTGATGTTAAACGTCATTGGCACTATCTCCATTTCCTTTCATTTTAATAAAAAATCACAACACATGCTGTATATACGGCATGCTGCGTTAAGGGAACAGTGGAAACAGCGTTCTTTATTGCTGTAATGGCCCTTATTTTTCTACTTTCTTATCTACTTCCTCAACCGGAAGATAGTTGAAGTGGCAGTCAGGGGTCACATTCTGAGTAACTGAGTTAACAT